TGGAGCTTGTGATGTCCTATGGAGGAGGGGGCTGACAGATTGGAAGATCCAGAGAGTTAATGACATTACAAGAAAACAGCCAGTCTACAGATCAACTGATCAGAAATCAAGCAGGCTCACAGAGACCAAGGAGCCTGTATGGGTTTGGCCTAGGTCCTCTGCATATATCTTATGGCTAAGTAGTTTTCAGTTCTTGTGAAAATTTTAACAGTGACATCAGGGACTGACTTTGACTTTTGGGTTGCCTCATTCAGCCTTCATGGAATTTGTTATGCTGTACTTAGTTGATGTCCATGGGAATTCTGGTCTTTTATTACTGGATGTGTACGGAAGAGGGGAAGAATCTGTGGGAGAGGAGAGGTGGGTTAGAGAGACTGGTAGAAGGGAGAGAGCGGAAGCTTAAGTCAAGATATACTGTATGAGAGAAGAATAAATGTAAAAAGGAAAATGTCTCCATAAAATAAACTTAGAAAAGTCTTATGTACACTGCATTCTGTATTTTCTATTATAATATATTATTTCTAAACCTCTAAAATATGGGGTGGGGCATATTTTTCAGAAATTAGTTCATGTAAGCAAAAACTAAATGCAAATAAAGTCAATTAACATATGAAAAATGGTAACATTATTGTTGATCTATCAAAAACAAACAGTAATGGGGACCTAGAAGGCTGGAAGTTCTGCGAGGCAGTTTCATAACGCAAAGTAAACAACGAAATTAAACTCTCTAAAATGGTTATTTGCTTCCAGGCATTTATGGAAAAAAAGAATGATTAAATAAGCATACAAACATTTATCTCTAAGAATGTTTGGAAGAACTTAAACATTCCCTTAAAAGAAGTGGAGTAAGAAAGTTCGTCTCACATATAGCACTTAATACAAAGCAGTATGTTAATGTAACTATTTATACTTGTATGTATTTATGTGAAATATTGCTATAAATATCATTATTAAAAGATAGACCTCAAGTACTTATCAAAAATATTTTTGACACAATGAGATTTTGTTTACTTATAGATAAATGTGAAAGAATGTTTTTAATGAAAAAATATAACATTTGTATATATTGCCCTTATACTTTCACTAAATAAAATTAATGTGAGATATAATTAGAGTATAACATGTTTCTCTTTTCATCCTATATTTCATCACATCTAGATTTTCAAAAGATAATCAAAGTTTTTTACTTCAAAAATATAATCAGGGTTAACATAATGAAGCAGTCCTCCTTCCAAATAGAATCTACAGACTAAATACAATCCTCAACAATATTCCAAGATAATTCTTCACACCTTGAAAGGACAATTTTCAGCTTCATATGTACCACAACAATTCCAGGATAGCAAGGACCATTCTGAATAATAAAATAACTGCTGAAAGTATTAATACCCTGATCTCAAATTTTACTACTAAGCTATAGTAATAAAAGCAGTGTGTTGTTGGCATAAGACCCACTATGCTGATGAATGGAATAGAATTGAAAAAGCTTGCACAGTTCACACATTATGACATCCAATTTTTCACAAAGAGCCAAGAAATACATGTTAGATAAAAGATAGCATCTCTTTGCATAAATGGTGCAAGTCAAATTGGAAGGCTGCATGTAGAAGAATGCAAGTAGATCAATATTTATCATCCAACACACAACTCAACTTCAAATAAATCAAGGATCACTACATCACAACATAAGACACATGCACACACACACACACACACACACACACACACACACACATATGTGAGAGATTATTAGAGTATACATGCTTTTCTTTTCATCCTATATTTCATGGCATCTGGATTTTCAAAAGGCAAACAAAATTTTTTACTTTCAAAATATAATCAATTTATTTTACTTCAAAAATACAATATATATATATATATATATATATGCATATGTATATGTCTTATGTTGGGATCCTTGACTTATTTGATGTTGAATTTTATATAGGATGATAAATGTTGATCTATATGTATAATATAGATAAAACACACACACACACACACACACACACATATATATATATACATATATATGTATATATATATATATCCTAGTTAGCAAATAAAATGCATTTAGAGTTATCTGTAAACTGACTAAGCGCAAGAGAAAAAAGTGTGTTTGAGGCTATGAGATATACTGTGCTCATAAACTGAAAACTGACATATAGCTACAGATGGAAACTGGCATTGAGGCATCTCTGGGGCAAGCTGGAGACCCAGGATAGGGGAGGCGCCTGAAAGAAAATGAACTGACTCTAGCTGAGTCTCATAGCAATTGGAGATATGGAGACTGAAGGCAGGAAAAGGGAGGGGCATCAATTCATCCATAAAACCTTCAACCCAAAATTTATCCTGCTTACAAAATATGTAGGGATAAAAATGAAGCAGAGATTGAGGGGATAGCCAAGAAATGACCCAATTTGAGACCTAGCCCATAGGAGAAAGATAACCCCTGACACTATTAATGATACTCTGCTATGCTTGAAGATGGGAGCCTAGCATAACTGGCATCTGAGGGTCTTCATTCAGCCACTGATACAGAGATCCACAGCCAAATATTAGTTGGAGCTCAGGGAGTCTTCTGGAAGAGTGAGTGCTAGGTTTAAGGAAGTCAGAGGGGTCAAGGAGACAAGAATACCTACAGAGCTAACTAACCTGAGACCATAGGGGCTCAGAGAAAGTGAACTTCCAACTAAACAGCATGCATGGTCTGGAACTAGGGCCCCTACACATTTTTAGCAGATGTGCATATTGCCCTTCATGTAGGTTCCCTAACAATTGGAGCAGGGGCTGTCTCTTAATCTATTATCTAACTCTGAATCAATTTCCTCTAGCTTTATCTGGCTCAGTGGGAGAGGATGTCCTTAGTCCTGCTGTAACTTGACAGGCCAGGGAGGATTGGTGGCAACAGGGGTCTTCCCCTCCACTGAGAAAATTTGGGGAGTAATTGGGGAAGGAGGGTTGTGAGAATCAAACAGGGAAGGGGTCTGTGATCAAGATGCAAAATGAATAAATAAATTAATGAAAAAGAAGAAATGTGAATGCAATTATTCTTAATGTTAAAACAAATTAATTTTGTGGGTCCCTTACAATATAGCCTGGATGTCCTTGCTGAAGTTACAGTAAACATAGCTTCATAAAGTTCTATTTTACCTGTTGTCTTTGTAAACTTGCATCCCTCTGTCAGGGATACCGACTTTTGAAAGGCTTATTCCATCTTTGCCTCAGCCTCTGACATTTATGAGACATTTCTCATGTTCCATGCCAGCTTACTTCAGGATTCATCTATTAGAAGAGTTACTGGGACCCTGTACTTCTCACCCCCTCTAGAGGTAATGTGCTCAGTGTTTCCAAATGTGTTTGTATCCTGCTTGCACTGGTGTATGTCGAAACACTCACTTTCTAGCAGTTTATTTTCCTAGGATTAGTGGTAGCTTCGTACTGGGATGCCTCAGTATTTTCTGATTAATTTCCCATTTTTCATCACTGATGGAATAACAGGTCTACATTGAGTATCCAGCTTGGGAGCTGGAGTGGTGTCTGTCTTTCAAACATAAGGAGTTGAGTTCTAGCCATAGCACCCATGTAAAAGCCAGGCATGAGTACAAGTGACAGCTGCAATCTCAGCAGTGGGAAGAAGAAAGGGGAAAGACATCTGAAGGATGCTCGTCAGCTAGCTGCATATATACACATCAGCCTCAGTGAGAAACATGCTGACTCAAAGAGAAATATGGAGGAAAAGTGAGGAAGACTTCTGACATCCCCCTCATAAACTCGTACAACACACAAAATAAAATATAAGGAGTACTCATTGCTTAGAATATCCAAAGAGTGTCCTGATGCTTAGGTCAACTCAAAACTGACACAATAGATCTTTATAAAACACATTTCACTCAATTCAATAGAGAAATTTTAAATTGGATAATATTATGGAAAGCATTATCACCTGCCCATTACTCTTCCAGGAATGCTTAAGGAATGATGTAAGCCAGACAAGCTGTGCACAGGATGTGGGTTCCCATGTGTCATTTAGATATGTATTCAGTGAAAGTATTGGAATTCATCAGCATCACTGCGCATCATACATCCTCAGTATTAGAGTTTCCTGGAAGATCGCTAGAAATGCATACTTGCCAGCAAATCCTCAGCCATAAATCATGGTGGCCTACAACAAACCCTCTGGGAAAACAGTACTGCTGGATCCTATCCATGTACAAACAACAAAAGAGCTGTTTGTTTCTCCTAAATTTCTTGGAATGTAAGTTTTTCTTCCTCATTCAATTTACTATGTCTATTAACTAGGAAATCATTTACAACTCAGTTTGCACCAATAACAAAACACAATCATCAAATTGTCAGATGGGTGACATCGGAGCTCTTTCTAACAATTCAGATTAAGTTCTCCATAAGAAGGATTTATTACCTTTCAATTAAACAAACAATGCATGCAGCTCCCACAGCTATCCATTAAGTCATGCTCAGTTCAGAAAGGATCTTTTTGGACTATCTGATAGGTGAAACCTCGGGTGTTTAAACAGGGAGTGTCTACTTGAAAGGTGAGGACTGTGAGGTATCAACAATTCCTAATGTCCCAGTGAGTAACTTATGGCAGTTATCTCATCCCATAAAAATACTGATTTCATTTAGATGCCATTAAACTTTTTAACCATATGAAAAATATCCTAGTTTTTTTTAACCTTTGTTTCAAACCATCTTTCTATCTCATCATAGTCTAACAGTGTTTCTCAAATGGAAGAAAGGAATAGGCTAGAGCCATTGTGATGATAGTTATCCTTATAAGTTCATAAAAATACACCATAAATGAATATTGTAGAACCCAGAACCACATATCTGAATCTGTGCATCCTTCCAGAAGTTTCTATTCCTGATGTCAGTTGTGTCCATTCACTTAAAAAATTTACTTATATATCCAGGTCAAGCTCTCTTAAATTTACTCCCCAGGAAATACATCCCAACAACATTCATTTCTCTCCACCTACCTGAAGGATTTCTTGATATCTTCTGCTTTGATTGTCTTGAGAATATCTTGGTATAACTGTGGGTTATTTGTTCCTGATGGCGAGGCATCAGAAGGACAATTCATGTGTGCATAATAACCTATTATAATTCCAAAAATAAACAGAGCGGTAGCTATGCACAGTATTTTTAACAGGTAGCAAAAGTTGCAGTGGTAGTTCTTTGGTGCAGATCTTGGATAGTGGGTCACACAGTCAGACTCTTCTTGAAGTCTCTGGAATCTTCCTTTGGGTGATGTTGCTGGTTGAATAGAATCAAGATGGAGATCTAAAGTCTCAGAGTGACCCAAGTTCTGATGCTCAGCATTATCTGGTTGAAACTGGTCAAAGCCTGGCTCTTCTAGTTCCTTCTCCATATCCCACTCTAAATCAAGGGCAGTAGCTTGAAGGTCATCATTGTCTAAGTACTGTGAATGTCCTGAGGTTCGTACATCTGCCTTGACTTTCTGATAAGCCATCTTTTTACCTATGGAATTAAAAGGAAATGAAAATTTTGCTTTATTAAATAATTAGTTTTTTTTAATTGAAAGTAAAAACAATATAAAAAACAAGAAAGCCTGTTTGGGTATACAAAACTTTTAATGCTTAGTGCCTGGACAGATTGCTCAGGCATGTATAACTCAAACACAAGTGTGTAGGTTCAAACTCCAGTACTTAGGCTAGAGGGCTGAATGTGATGATACAAGCTCCTGTCATCCTAGCACTGGGGACTTGGGAAGACAGAATTCCTGGGGCTGTTGGAGTGGTATCTTAGATAAATATTCATGCTCTTCCACCCTGTCTCACTGTGAAGAGTAATTGATAATGCCAGACACTGACCTCTGGCCCTCACATGCATGTGCACATGTGTGCATGTCCAGCTCCCACATTCACATAACACACACATACATACACACTCACACAAAGTGGAAACTTCTAGTTTTGTTCTTTGGAAAACCAGTTATGTCAAGTGATATTTTGCTTGGGCACACAGGTGAAAGAATGTTTTGATATGTCAGACACTTGAAAGGAAGCTTGACGGAGTATAAATGTAACCCCACAGACAGTAGGAGCAGTAAGCATTTGATTTGCTCTGCCTCACTATTCTTCATTAAGGACACACATGTATTGGGTTGCCTTCCATAGCATTGTTGAGCTCCACTAGTGGTGATGCCAGAGAGATACTCGCCAAATAACAGTTCCTGAGGTTCCTGCAACAGTTGTCCCTTCTGCGGTCTCACCTCAGGCTGGTTGGCAAGCCTTGTGATTTCTTCTGGATTGATCTATAGCTGCTGGTTCTTGTGTGGTGTCTACATGCCTAGTGGATTGGACTGAAGCTGAGGTTCATGTGGGGAATCTGCCTGCCTACAGGACTGGTCAGCAGCTGCTGAGTTATATTTGGTATTTGCTATGGGACTGAACTGCTGCCAAGGAAGATCGAGCTCACCTGGAAAGAACTATTGTTGCTGAACAGGTCCACTTGCCCCACATCCTAATAACTTTTCTCTTCCACTACCTCTGTTGGGTGGTGGGCTAGAGGAGAGGTTGAAACCTTATTAATTATACTTTGCTGTTATATAAACAATAAATGTTGAAAATATGGAGTAGAAAGCCTATAGGAAAAGTATTAAAAACTATACACACAAACACAGACACACCTATACACACACACACAGACACACACACACACACAGAGAGCTAATCTTGGCAGTCATAGAGAGTAACAGGAGTACACAAATATCCATAATGTAAAACAATGAAGCCAATTTTTACCATGTTTAGAAACAACATTAAACAATTTACAGACAGATGCAGTGAAGCAATGACTTGATTTCTTAAGAGTAGAATTGTATAAAAGACCTTCAGGTGGTTATGTACACTTCAGCTGCTTCTGAAAACAAACCTAAGATTAGAAGTGGCAAAATAGATAAAGCAGTATAAGGTTTATAGAACGGTAAAAAGTAAAAGATAGTGTACCTAAATAATCATGGGTAAAAAAAAAATTACTGAAAATTGTAAGCTATCAAACAGGATAAAGGTATTCACAGGTCCTATGACATGAACTAGCACACAGATCAGTGAACTTTATGTAAAAATCCAGAATGCCGTGTATCCAAAGTTTTCACCACCTTGAGAGGACTTCATTTCATAACCTTGTGAGTGGCAGATGAAAGTTTTTCTCTTCTACTGTTTTGGATGACCATACATTATGTCCTACAGTGAGGTTATTAGGATAACATGTCTAATTAACAGTAAATGGTCTCAGTTCTGTTAGCCACTATAGTGTTATTGTTGAAGATTCATAACGTTTACATTGTTTACACTTGCACGTTTTGTACACTAGATGTCATCTTAGCTGGATATTTAGCTCCTTCACCATGATTTATGACATTTCCATATCTCCAACATACAGTAGGAGAAGTAAAACACAAAGCTTAACTGATAATTTATAAGTTAATTCTTAATGATAGTCACTAACAAATCAACAATAACAAAGAAGATAAAAACCAGGGCTACATGAGAGAAGGTAGCATTAGTCACAGAATACTGACCTTTCACAGGTTGGTGAACAGAGACCCAAATAATAAAAATGCTCTGAATTTTTAGAAATATTACACATAACTTAATATTCAATCATACACAATAAAATATAATTCTAAAAATCTCATTTGGTACTTTATCAAATAAGATTGATTCTTATCAAAAACTGACCCTAAACCAAGTATGTCATTTATATTTGTCGTCAGGAGAGGCAACAAAAGTGAAGATGAATGGGTCCCTTTTCCCACATAGGACAAGACAATCAATCATAGGAGAAAAATGTGTATACAAAACACACAGGAACAATAAAATGTGCTGAGTTGTCTATGGAGAAATGTTTTTAAGATTTCTTCTTATTATTTAATATTTGTCTTAATTTGTTGAGAATTTCCAGTAATGTATTTTGATCATATTCATTTGCCTACCTTGATATTTTATAAATCTACCCTACATTCTTACTCACCCAGCTTCATGATTTTCATGTTCTTTCAGCTTCTTTGTCTGTTTGTTCCCACAATTACTCGGGTGAAGAGCATGCTACTACAAAAGGAGGGGTCATAACATCTTAAAGAAACCTGGCTCACAATTATATTTAAGAGTCCTCAGTTAGGGATGCTCGCCTTCCCAGATCAAATGCTGAGATTTTGTTTCTCTTGAACTTCTATAGATATTGTGCATGCTGAGTGACCATATATGCAACAGACCATTGTGTCCATAAAATAGCTTTAATGCCGTCAGACACAGCCTATGGCTTTTACAGTTTTTATGTTCCTTCTTCCTCTATGATGTGCATACCTTGAGGGAAGAAAGTATGTTTCAAGGAATCAATTAGGGCTGAATATTTCACCATCTTTTATTCTCTTCATTTTGGCAAGTTGTCTCTATCAATTATCTTCTTGCAATAAGAAGCTTCTCAGATGAGTGCTGAGAGATGCACTAATATCTGTATGTAATGATAAGTCAGTAAACTCATTTTACTATGATATTAATTTAGTAGAATGATAGTAGAGGATTCTCCCATAGGACTTATGACCCACCTAGTCACATGCTCTTAGCTACAGTTATGTTCCCAGTTAGAGGTTCCATTGAGGTAACTCAGATCCAAAAAGACAAAATTCACTTGTTTATTTTTTCTTTCTCATATGTGGAAGATAGTTTTGAATATTTAGATGTGTGTGATTCTTGTGGAATACCCATTGTATTCAGGAAACATGTGAGAGACCAGAAGGGGAGGGCTTTCAGGGATGGGGAGATACAATGTGATGGTATAAAAGGGAAAGAGGAGAGAGTATTGGAGCTGGAAGGGTTAGATGAGGTGGAGGTGAAGAAAATATTCAGGATGTGGTAATGAGCACTAAAGACACTTTGAAAAAGGTTATATGGGAATTTACTTTTGTAAAAGCTTACACACACACACACTCACACACACACACACACCCCAAATTTAAATGAAGTTAATCTATAACAAAATGATTATAGCGTAGTATAGCAATTAACAAACTAGACACCAGATGTTGGCAAATATCAACCCCCGTGTTAGAAAATGATAATTTCTTCTTACGTTCTTAGCCAGCAAGGTCCCCAGAAAACCAGATATTCTAGGTTATATACATTATCCTTGGTTACTTCTACAACTGGACAGTAAGCCATTATTGAAAAATATACCACATATTTGCGTCACAGAACAATGAATAAAATTATTTAAGAATGTATATGCTTAGGGTGGGAGTAATGGCTCAGAATTTAAGAGCATTTGCTGCTTTTATAGAGGACCCAAGTTTAATTCCAAGAGCCCACATTGTGGATAACTCCCATTTCAGTGGATCTGACCAGTTCCCTTTGTAGTTTTATCAAAAGGTGAGAAATATGAAGCAGACACCATATTTCAAAGACTTAAACACCATGAATACAGGTTTTTTTTCTTTTTGCAAGTCTTATAATGATATGCTAGCCAAGGATGATCACATGCCACAGATACTGAGACAAAGCTAAGAGAGCACCAAGAAATGGTTAAAAATTCTCTGCAAGCCAGGCCTCCCGTCTCTGGGGGGAGCATGGAAATAGCCTGAACGTGAGCTTATCTATTACAACCCAGGGCTCCAGTCTACGAGTTGAGCATGGGAACAGTCTGAACTAAGACTTATCTACTGTTTGTAGATTAGACTTAAAGAATTAGAAGCAATATTTCTATATTTAGAGGCAAAAAATATAAATGTAAAATGTTGAAGATAAAAAATGAATTATACATTGTAGCATAAATATACAATTCTCTCAGATATTATGAATAATGGGAGACCATAAAATAACCATACATATATAGTATAGTTTGAGCTGTAAATTTACTTAATTTACATATAGTCCACACTATGGTGTGACTAGGAAATGTCCCCATAGACATAGACAGCTGGAGGTCGCAATGTTGTGGAACTTTCTAACATTTGTGGCTAGTTGTAGAGATGTGGACATGTTGTTTGAAGATTATAGTCTTGCCTAACTTCTTCTGCTGTCATTTTTTTCTCCTGATCCACAGAGATGTCAAACGTCATACAGCATACTCTCCTTCCACAGAGCTCCTAGCTGGAAAGACTTCTCCATTTTGATGGATTAGATGTCCTTGAACAATGAACTAAAATGAATCATTCTCCTTTTAAGTTGTTTCTTGTCAGCTATTTGATCACAGTGATGACAGAAGAAACTAATAAAGTCTATATATCAAAATAAAACTCTGATATACTGACCATCATCATGCAGTTATTGTTTGGTAGGTGTTAAAACATCGGCAGTAGTTCCAAGTACTATTTTTTTCACTCACTCCTTAACTCCTTACTCTATTGTAATTTAATTTTCCTAAACCATTAAGAAAAAGTTGTATATTTGCATAAAATTGGTTGGTTTTGTTTGTTTTCTTTTTTTTTCACCTAAAAAGCTATGTGCTTGTTTTCCATTTTTGTAACTCAGAATAAGCAGATAATGACATATCAGGTTTGAGGCAATTTTTCAGACATCTTAAGTGATGTTTGATTACAAAATACAAGCAGACACCAAACAATTCTTCATGTAAGTGAAATATTTAAGAGAAAATATAATGTAGTCTGAAAATTGCAAAGATAGCTGAATGAATGAAGGATTCACACTGCCATACCATTGTGTGAACCAGAATCCAAAACTGAATTCCTCATTCAGACAGTGTAAGGTCAGTTTTGGGAACTAATCCTTCTCAATGACCTGAGTTTTCATATAAAATATGACTAGAAATTAGGTGATAAACTTATGACTAATACTCCACAGGCAAATTTATTTTATCATACCCTATACCAA